GTTTTCCACTTTACGCGTTTCACAAGTTGCGGTGTCAGGGAAATTTACCGGTTCCGAATATTGATATTCACTATATTTCTTCACCTCTCTGCATCGAACTGATTACTCTACTGTGTGGGCTTGCTTTTTAAGCTCAAATTGGGCTTTTTGAGATCTTTAAATATAAGAATGAACTTGAAGTTTGACTATAGACTGACTCTTCATCTAATTTTCTTTCGTAGTGAAGTATTTTAGAATAAAGTGACCGGTAGTTTTATAAGCCCTTTCAGCTTTTCTAATCAGATTCTCGTATTTTACTTTTCTGCTACACAGGAATGAGAGTAGAATGAAGTGAGATTGTGTATACGACATGATTTCATATGCTTCTGTGTGTTTGAAAAATTTTTGTCGTTTTATTATGCTACCTGTAATTAACGGGTGAGCATGGCCGCTAACTCCTGAATTGTTTAGACAGAAGACGTAAATTTTTGACTCCTGATCACTGTGAAGAAGCAGTTATATAAAAGGTGCTATGAAACGTTTTTCTTGACCTGCTGACACGTACTGGACAACCAAATCTAGTTCTCAGCGAAACTAACTTTCTGGTGTTAACCTCTGGTGTCGGAAAATTCACATTTGAAGTTCTTTTTTTTAGTCGGGTGAGGAGCATTCGAAGCTAGAAGGGGATGAGCTAAAAAAAGGTTAAGTATTATTGCATTAAACGTCTTAATGATGAGGATGTTGCGTCAAATGAAGAAAGCTGGGTTCCGTATTTTACAGAAAAAGGGTAAAGAGATGTAAGCAGAAGTATTTAAGCTTAGACAGTAAGTCATAATAGCCTTTTAAAAGTAATGGTTTAGATAACTACTTTTGCACTTAACAGTTTGCGGAGACGGAAAAAAAGTATTGTATCGTAGGTTACGTTTTTGGCTCAAAATGGTTTATTGAAAACTTTACCGAAATGAAGTGATATACTTTTTTTGCAGAAGTTATAGGCGGTACAAGCATATATTATTATGATTTATCATTTATTTCTTATATCACTCTTTGAGTTGGTTGTCTTTCCACTATTTATAGGAAGAAGTCTCCTAGTGGTGAAAAATTTTCTTTTATTTGGATTTTCACTGTGATCGAAAAGTGTTAGGACTAATGCCGTATCTGGATTTTTTACGTTGAAAAGATATGTATGTACGTGAAAATATGCATATTGGCTACTCTTTGGACAAGTGAACTGAGGCCTTTTCGGGTTTTGCTTTAATTGCCTTTTCATTCTTTTGCAGACGACTCAAAGAGATTTTTTTTAGAATGAAAGTATCGGTGAATACCGCAATCTGCAGTGGACAGTTTGGAATGACTGTTTTGCAGACTGTTTTTATGTTTTATTATGTCAAGGTTTTCTTAAATATTTTCAAAATTAATGAGATCTGGTTTGACATAGCGCAGCTGTTATTTATGGTCTGGAATTCTGTGAACGATCCTCTCTTTGGATACTTGCAGGTTGCATTACATCCTTAATTTGCGTAAACTAAAGCTTTTTGATTTACTGTGAACAACTAGTAGTTAGAGTTTTAGGACTTCAGCGTTTCTTGGCTAAAAAATAGAAAGAAAGTGATAATGTACCTTGGCCCGTTGTTAGTTATGTCTTTCTATATGATCTGGTTTCCATGGTCAAATGAGACTTCACCGTCTTATGTGTGTGGAATCCATCTCCTAACTGTTCTGTTTTTCTACGATGCTTTTTACAGGTTCGTTTCTATTTTACAGACTTATTTTTTACATTTTATAGAAGTGCGAAACCGTTCTTGTGAATAATACGAGTTATTTATTCAGTTTAGTTTCGTGAACGTAGCTTGGAGCGCTCTTTTTGCTGAATCGACATATGAAGGCCTTTCAAGAATCACTGCAGTGAAATATTCTCAGTTAGCTGTTCTGTTGTCTTCTCTCATTTTGCCATTACTGGAAGCTATATCGAAAGGCCTTGTTGTAAGTTTTTTTCAGTTTTAGTTTGTTATACTTAAGCAAAGTTATTGAAAGCTTCTTGTTTTAGAAGGAGATTTGCCGTTGTTATTCGTTCCAGTGGTTTCACTTTGAATTTTAAATAGCTTTTTTTTTTAAGGATTACTTTGCTTTTCAATGTACTTGTATGGTGGTTGGTGCCATTGCCCTAATATGCTTTTACATAACTGGTTGCCTTGAAGAAATAGTTTTTCAAGAAGACCACCTTTATTTAACAAATGATAGAAGGAAGGATCCACGTTTGTTAACAACAATCATGAAGACTACCAGACAAATTCTGTCAAAACGAGATTTCATTGTTTTAGTTGCTACTCATTTCATTCATAATTGCAGGTATTTGTGCTTTTATTAAAGGTTTTTCTTACAAAATTTTTTTGGGTTTTTTATAAGATATTTATCTTCAGGTCTGTCTCTCACTTAAATTTCGCTACTATTGTTACCGACTTACTAATACCTAATGAAATCATTGCAAAAGGGACCTGGAAAATGAGTTTTCTTTACGCATCATGTGCTGTGTTCCCACAGGTTCTTTTCTTTGTTTATTTAAATTATTTTTAAAGCCTTCTGTAAAATTTTTTATTTCGCTGTGTCTGTTAGACGAAGTTCGTGCTACATTTGCTCAACTCTCTTTAGTCTTTAGAACATTAAAATCATCCGATAGCCGCTGAAAGTAAGATATATACCAAGTGAAAATCTGATACTGAGATCTTGTGTAGCAAAAGCACTTAGAGTGAGACATAAAAAAAGTATAAAGGAATAGTTTATGAAGCAGATGATTCGTGAAAATAGTTAGACTTCATTGCTGTCTTCTGCAAAAGTACGATGTGTCATACGCATTTATATTACGTCTGGTTATCAGTAGTAACTCCAAATCGGACCTTTTTTCACAGCCAGTTTCCTTGTTATTTTTGCCTTTGTTTTTTGAAATTTTGCTAGTAGTATTCAAATACTTCAGAATAGACCGTAATTCAGTTTATAATGTTGATATTTATTTGTGTGACTAAAACTGTTGAAAGTTTTTTCCCAGATGTGAACTGCTTGTTGCGTCATAGTCCATCCCGTTTTTGTAAATGTATCCAGGTTTTTTCGAAACATAGAAAATTAATTCTTGAATTAAACAGCTTTCATTTAAAGTTATTAAGTTTTTCAGAAAAGTCACACAGCAGTCACAGAAATTGACGGTAAATGGTAATATCGTCTTTGCAAGCGTTAATTTTTTAAGTCAGGAAAGCGCTGAGGATTAGGTGTAGTACTGTTATCTATGTGAACAATAATATTTAAGAAAAAGTTATTTCAAAAACTAAACTATAGCGGCCTTGCAAATGTTTCAGCCAAAAGTACTACTGGACTTCCGTGGGTCGAAACTTTCATGGATCAATGTTAGTTAACTGATATTTTGTATAGAGCAGACTACCGACAGATCCTTAGAGTTGGGGTTTTTTGAAGAGGATTTATTTAGTATAACGGCAAGAGACGGAACTGGAGTTGATGAGAGGGTCGACGTTAGGGAAGCATTAATTTATTGGCCAGTAAGGGGATGTCAACTGCTTGGTAGAGACCAGTCTTATCAAGTAGGAACTGGAACATATTTGAATAAACTTTTTCAGATTTATTGACTGTTAAAAACTGATTGATGTACTCAAAATTTGGAAAATGGAACAGTATCAAAACCTCATTCAAAGAAAGGCTCATATCAAAGGAGCTTCTAAAGGTCTTGAAAAAGAATCTGTTTGTTACAGGAGGATAAAAAATTTAGTGGAAGCAGTGACGAATTAAAAAAGAGTCTACAACTGCAGTTTTCATTTTTGTTTAGGAGACTTTTAAGCTGTGTTTAAGTTTTTCGCTGTTGTTAGAGTAAAAATTTTTCATTGTTGATATTTTGAACGACTTCTTGTTTAACATCACTTTTTAAGCTTAAACTTTCGTGCTAGCCTTTCTGGATGAGCGTAGGTATCCTGTCTTCGTAATTACTTTTTTTTGCAAAGGCAGATAGCGTACAAATACTTAAGAAACGGTCCTTTTACTTATCACTACTACAAAATACTTAAATTTTTTCCAGCAATCTTTTTTTGTTTCGGAATTCTTCGTTTGTAGCGGTTTCCCCTTCAACTCTAAGACTGACACTTTACTTTCACTTTTATTTTCTAGCAGCTTTTGTTATATTTTGCTAAGTGCTTCATCTTTTATCGTTTATTTTCATCTTTGGGCAGTAATAGCTGCCTTGAAAAAAGGTGCGACTTAATTTTTTTTTAACAGGTGAGATCCGTTGTCGCAGAACGTGTGCAGAAAAATCTTTTAAGGTTTTGGTGATTGCAAGTGGCGACTTTTTTGTAAAACAGGGTGTTTACCGCGTTGTTTTATCGTCTTTCGTGTTCTCGACCGTGTCATCTCTTTTTTGCTGGTTGACTGCCTTTAAGAATTCGTATTTGCTGGTTGTTTTTCTTGTTCTCGACAGGTCAGTATTTTTTGATAATTCTTAAACTACTAGGTTTAAATCTACTGCCCACTGAAGAAACTCATTGCTAGCATGTGTCTGCTTCTTCGCTTACCTGTATTAGACTTCTGTTTCATAATGGACCCAGAATTTTGACTTTTTCAAGCCTTCATTTGTTTCGTGTCCAAATTTGGTTATTGCTTCTTTCAGTATTGCTGTGCACTCCATAGCTCCGTTCTTCCAAGTTCTTCTGGCAGAGTTCATTGAAGATGATGCAAGAAGGTTTTCGAGAAGGTAGGGCTTGGTAAAATGTGTAATATTGCAGTTCGTTTGTTTCTGTTCTGGTTACTGTTGAGCTTTATATAGAAATAACACTGAGAAAGTGAGACATTGCCGTCTTTAAAAAAATAATTTTTTGTAATTTTTTGATAATAATGAAGTTTAGGAGGCCAATATCTACCACGATTTTTAGTATAGATGCGTTATTGATCAAGCCAGCCCTGTCAGTTTCTCCTGTAATAATTATACGGATACTGAATATTTATAGATATCAGGTTCTTTTCACTCACACATTTTACAAAACTCATTATGAAAAAAGATTTGTTTGCCGAAAGCTGAGAAGCAGCGCTTTTTTGTTTCTTCAAATTGAATAATATTTCTTCAGGACTACCAACAAAAAGGAGAAAAACCAGAGGAGTTAATTTCGTGTATGTTTACAATTTTATGCTTTATACCCCTTTTATTGGGATTTTTGGAGTTTATTATATTCCGAACTTGGTCGCTAGGGAAGAGACGTACTTCGAGCATTTTGCGAGACTACAGTATATGATTACAGCGAATAGTGCCATGAATTTTTACAGTACTATTGTAGAAATCTAAAAATTTTTGCTTACAGTACTTTCTGGTTTGTTACGGTTTTTACTGCATTGTTAAAAATTTTTGTTGCAATATATCGCGGTATCATTCTTTACTGCTTCATGTGGGCTTTCTAATCTTTCTTTTCGTTCTTTCTGTAATTGTAATATTATGTGGTATTTACCAGAAAATTCAGCATTTCTAGCAATTTCTGTTAACGGTTATGGCTAGATGTCGTTTTTTAAAATTCTTATTTGTATTTAACTTTCTTGACCAGTCTCTGACTTCTTGATCTCATCACTTTTGCCGGTATTAGATTGTTTTTCTACACATGCGTTGTCAACGTGTATTCGTTTCCGATTTTGCGTAGTGCAACTGTTTATGTCGACCAGCCTCTTTTTCGGTGTAGCCATTTGAGAGTTTTATATTGTTCCGGTATGAAAGCAGTAATGTTTAAATCTTAATTCTCTTTTGGGCGTAGACTTTAATAGAGCTTGATTTTAAATTGCGTTTCATCACTTTGAGAATATATGACAGTCTGAATTTTCCGTGATTATTCTAAAAGATGGTTGTGAATAGGATTTGAAATGGTTGTTGGTCGTTTGAATAATAAAGCTAATAAGTTTTTTGTTTACAACTACGAGAGCGAAGTTTGGAATGAATCACAGTTATCTTAGTTAGTATTTGTTCATAGAGAAACTTATGGCCGAATGGTGGTGGTAAAATTAGTTTCCCTTATGTTGGATTAGGCGACATAATGTTCTTGTAGTAGGCTTGTATAATCATTTTTATTGGGTTTGACAAAGGAAAGTAGTAGAGGTGTCTTCATGCTGATGATTTGATGCGAGCTGAGTGTACTTAGTGTTTTATAATATAAACAGGCGATTAAGAAGTGTTGATAATGCGCATTGAAAGCGGTTCAACCATTTTAGAGGTTTAAGTCGTATTAAGGTGTGCTTGGTAGTCATGTACAAAGTTCTTTTGATTATACGTTCCTTCTACCTTATCATACCTAGTTGGGAACCGTTGGTCTTGAGTTGTGGGCTTTGTAGTTTAAAAAGAAATGACAGTTATCTTTATAACTGACTTTGATGACATCCACTCCAAATTGGCCCTGTTATGCAGAAATTTGGGGTTTTTCACAATTTAGCCCGGTGTAACTTTTCCACAGATATGACTTTTTAAGATAGTTTTTTTTGATCCTGAAGTTAAAGACTAAGTTTTATTAGTCAGTTTGAACAAGAACTCTTAGAGGTTGACTAGCATGTATGAAATGATTTTACACGAAATTGCATATATACTTAACGAATTTGTGTACAGTCTAAATGGTTTAAGAAAAAAGCAGTTTTGCTCGTTAAGGTTTTCAGATTACGCGTTTAAAAGTGTTATTTGCTCATACGACAATTAAGAAGCATAAGCTAGTTATTATCAGAATTTCTTGAAGTATTA